TAGCTAGTAGCCTTATGGCGGCCAAGAGCGCGTTTTGGAGGTGTGATTGGCTTCTGATTGACCATCCAGAACCTTTTTTTTGTTCTCTTTTGGCCGTTCCCACCAGCAGCGCCACGGCAAATCACCAAGGGACTAAGGGGCATAACTTAGGAGGTTCACCGGTGATCTAGCATCGTCGTGGAACTTCGGGGGGGGGGAGGGTCATCATGCTGGTCGTGATCGGGAATCAATCTGAAGTGTCGGTGAGTCTCCGTCAATCACACGGAGCCGTTTTCGCTCGGTAGGAATTGTCTGCGATATTCAAATCTCATCCGTGCCTCCTCAAAGACCGCTCCCGTTCGGCGTTTGCGACTCTTAGCAGACCCCGGATAAGGCGTGGGGTGGGAGGGGGGCAAGAAAGCGACTGAAGGATGGGAGGATCTTTTGTCTTTTTTTCTTTTTTCTTTTCTTTTCTTTTTTTTTTTTGGTGAGCAGCCTCCCCCCCACCCCTTGCAGGCGCGGGTCCCTATACAGTCTGGAATAGGTGATTGCGGATATCGCCGTGGATGGATGGGTGGATGAGGATGAAGGAGATCACAGGCAAATCGTCGATTGGAGCGACTACGTCGGCTCGCTTACAATGAATAGATTCAGAAGGCAGCAGTAGCAGTAGCAGTAGTAGATAAGTTAGTACTCAGTAGTAACTATAGTACACTTAACATTACCTACCCAGTTCAAAAGACTCCTTCCTTGTTTGGTATTTGCCGTTATCGCGAGCCCAGCCGGTCAGATTAGCAGATGATGCTGGTAAAGAAATAAAATTGTTGAGTGACTCGAGTCTCTAAGGAGTGTCACGATCTGATTGATCTTTTTGATGAACTCTAAGTCTCCAACGTACGCCGAGTGGCAGTGGCTGTGTTTTACTTCAAACTCCTGTCTGGGTTTCGTTCCCACCCGGCCGGGCCGACCATTGAGAGTCACCCGCACTACTCATACTCATACTCATACTACTCCCTACGGTATACCACTCGCTAACGTAACTTCCAAGTTATGGTCACCTCCTTCATTTCGCTAATTCCATAGGTACGATACAGTTACATGGCCTCATTTAGATCAAAGAGAAACGATGGAAAGCTGCAGATTCGAGTCTCTTTTAATCTGGTCTATGACGTACATCAACAATCAATTTTCATTTATCAGCATCCCATCAACTAAATCACCTGGTGATCGGTTGCGTAATCCTAGCTGCCGAAACTCAGGTATAAGCTGCCAGCGACCAGGGGGACTGTGCTCCCAATTTTCCAGTTGAGCCTCCTGTCACCTGCTCTCCAGCCAACGGAGAGATTCTTCACTCTTTCTATGCATCCTTTTCACCCAGACGATGAACCTTAAGCGTCCCGCGGTCTGAGAGATCATATGCGACGAGGACTAAGGAGAGGCCAGCCTTCCAGAGTCAGTCCAGGGGCCGACTATAGCCGTGCCTCAACGGCTCGTCCAGGTCCAGGAATCGACCATCGGCCATCGATTTCGACCCAAAAAAGGAACTGAAGGAAGTAAGTAAGACCAACTGTCTCTCATCTCATCTCATGGTTCAACATTTTAACTTCTCGAAAGGATGATGCTGCCGCCCAACTCCCTGCTTGGAGGGGGGGATTGGGGGGGAACCGCCCGTCGGGATTCGTTAGTTATACTTTATTGCGTTTCTCCGCCTTTGGTGATTCTCGCATGAGGAGAATCCTTCATGCTGACAGATCAACTGTCAAGAGAGAGAGACGACGGAGTCAGTCGGTCATAATAGCCTCATGGTCATGGCGTTGCCATGCCATGCCATCGCGCGCGGCTCCATATCGTCGCATGCAGTTTGAAGTTAGCGGGCGCTTTGGCCATCCTCAAAAGGAAGAATACGACCCAGCCCCCGACTAGATCGGTTTATCCCCTCAATCATATTGATCATCCTTATTAACCCAGCGGCCAAAGGGAGTTGGATTGCCAGTAAATCGAAGCTTACCGCCTGGTAAGTTATCGCTGGGGTGCCGTGTTGTTGTTGTTGTTGTTGTTGTTGTTTCTATGGTGTGACTCCTTGTCTTCTCTTGGTGAGAGTATACCCCACGACACCATGCATCGCTTGGTGATTCTGTCAGCAGAATTTCCACCTGCAATCCTGAACTCTCTCGAGCGGGCGGTGATTTCAGTGCCTAACTGGGCGAAATCAGGAGTGAGAGTTCTGGCTCGGGATCTCAGGTTCCAGTAAATGCAGGTGGGACGTCCTTGCTTGGACGGACAAGAGTAAGCTCAATCTGATACAGAATGTCACTCTCATCAACCTTACATCATGATACTGAGACAATTTGCCGGCTCCCAAGGTAGTGCCCCTTGGCCGAGGTCAATGGAACTTCCAGTATTGTTGTAGAGACTGCACGTCTATAGAAATTTACACCTGAGGCATCCACGACTGTTGAGCTACTGTCACATATCACATGATCACCTGCGATAAGACGCACTTACCTAAGCAAGGAGCTTATCGGCCAGGCCGCCCGCGCGGAAATCATGCGGGCCAAACAAACATGGTCGGACCTCGTCGTTCCTCTCCGTCCCAAAGGCCCGAGGGTGAGGATTCGGTGTTCCATCGAACGAAATAAGCTGTCATCATGGCCAATCACACCCACGAGGAAGATCTGGAGGACAAATCGATAATCCTAGTGACGGGAACAAACAGGTAAGCTCAGCTCCGCCCAATCGCATAGCTCCTAAGCTTCCCTGGCCCCTTATCCCGCCGCGCCCACAACCAAACACAAACGTCGGCAGCAGAAGAGCACGACACGACGAGAACACCACAAAGCAGCACTCCAATTGACCCTCTCACTAACATTGATAACCTCTCCCTCACAAAACCAGTGGCCTCGGTTTCTCAATATGTTGCCGCCTCGTCGACGACTTCCTCAAGTCCCCCGCCAACAACCACCGCAGCCTAGCGGTGGTCTTCACCACGCGCAGCACGAAGAAGGGCACTGAGACCCAGCAGCGTCTCGAGCAGCACCTGCAGAGCACGACAACACAAACCCCCGAGCATCGGGCCCGCATCACCTTCATCCCGGAAACCGTCGACCTCTCCAGCCTACCGTCGACGCGCGCCTGCGCCCGGCGCCTCACGCGCACCCTTCCCAAGCTGGACGCCGTGATCCTCAACGCCGGCATCGGCGGCTGGACGGGTCTCAACTGGCCGCAGGCCGTCTGGGGGGTGCTGACGGATCTCGTGCACACCGTCTCCTGGCCGGGGTACAAGATCGCCCCCGTCGGCCTGCTCACGGCGCCGCAGACCACCACCCAGCGGGACCAGGAACCCCGCCTGGGCAACGTCTTCTGCGCCAACGTCTTCGGCCACTACATGCTCGCGCACAATCTGATGCCTCTACTCCGTCGAGCCTCTAGCAGCAGCAGCAGCAGTCGCATCATCTGGGTCTCCAGCATCGAAGCCACCCTCCGACACTTCTCCATCGACGACCTGCAGGGCCTCCGCACCGCGGCCCCCTACGAATCCTCCAAAGCTCTGACCGACATCCTAGCCCTGACCGCCGATCTACCGTCCACAAGCCCCTGGAACGAGTCGTTCTGCTCCACCACGCCCTCAAACACATCCTCCACAGACGCAAACAACCCCCCTCCTACCCTGGAAACCGAGGCCGCGGCCACCAAACCAAACACCTACCTCGCCCACCCCGGCATCTGCGGCACAGCGATCCTCCCGCTGCCGCTGCCGCTTATCTACGCGATGCTGATCTCCTTCTGGCTGGCGCGCCTGCTGGGCTCCCCGTGGCACACGATGTGGACGTACCTGGGGGCGTGCGCGCCCGTGTGGCTGGCGCTGGGCGGCCAGGCGGAACTGGACGCCGCTGAGGCGCCCTACCGCGCGCACCCCGGCGGCGGCCGCGTCAAGTGGGGGTCCTCGTGCGACCGCCGCGGCCGCGACGCGGCCATCTCGACCGAGGTGGACGGCTGGGGCCACGGGGGCGTCGTCGGGCCCGCCGTCGTCGCCGCGGACCGGCTGCGGCGCCGCAAGCGCGGGGCGCGCGACCTCACGGCCGAGGAGCGGGTCGCCTTCGAGGAGCTGGGCCGCCAGTGCTGGCGGCGCATGGAGGAGCTGCGCGTGCAGTGGGAGGGGATCCTTGACCGCGAGGAGGAGCAGCTCGCACTCCAAAGCAAGGGCAAGGAGGCTGCCGCCGCTGAGCGATGATGAACACATTCCACTCCACTGGGAAAGGAGGAGAGGTTCATCCTGTAACAAATCATGCTTTCGATATTGGTGTATTCCTACTAATGTATAGGTTCTTATCAAATAACATAATCTACGATAATGGAAATCAAGTCTTAACGACTACAGTAGCATTGAGCAAACGCATTTCTTTTTTCTTTTCGTTTCTTTTCTGTTTTCTGGATTCTTGCCTCCCCGTATTTACATTCCTTGAAACAACCCATGTCCACATACGTCATTAAAATCAGATAAGAGTATTAGTCCATGTGCTCACCCCCTCTCCCCTTCGAGAAAAGCAGAACAACAACGAAGTTGAACGGAAGAAGGCGGAGAGACGACTAAAGAAGAACGACAGGCTGAAAGCAGCTGCATCGTCGACAAAAAGAAGTCAAAAATGAGAAAAAGCGGGAATTGGACGTAAGAAGTAACCAGATCGGGTCAAAGTGCTGGTCGGAGACCGCAGAAAAATGAGATTAGTAGGTTTTACAGAAGAACAGACCCGAGTCAAGACACGCTTCCACCATCAAGGCCTCTAGCATGCGAAAGTCGGTCAATCAAGCACAAGACAAAAGGAGTAAAGCGCAAGAAGGGAGATTGTTCAGGGGAGTCGGGAAAGCAATTGTATCCAGATGGGAAAAGCCAGGTCGTCGAGCAGAGCTAGCGGTGAAAAAGAGGTTTGCGACTCAAATTTCTATGCATCTGAGCATTTTCGGGAGATGGGCGAATTTTATAGAGGTGTGTAAAAGGGGCGTGGCGGCGTGAAGAGGAGGTTTTACATGATGATCGCAGGAACTAAAGGGAATGATTTGTTAGTGAACAGGGAACTGGGCCTTGTGAATTGTGCTGAGGCTTACCATCGATGTTCTGCTTGATGCTCTTGTGAGGCAGGATCGAGCCACCGTTCACGTAGACTTCATCAGCAATGGTGACATCGTCACCAAGCACGGTGACATTTTCCAAACGAGCCCAGCGACCAACGGAGCTGTTCCATCCTACGATGGTCGACTTGACCCAGGCGTGGTCCTTGACCTTGCTGTTCTCCATGAGAACACAACGCTGCAAGCGGACACCGTCACCGATCACAACGTTGGGGCCAATAACTACATTGGGGCCAATGCGGCAGTTCTTGCCGATCTTGGCGGAAGGGTCGACCATGACGTTGCCGCCGTACACGTAGGGCTCACTGTTGGGAGCAAGCAGTTTGGAGTTGCGCTTCGCCAGGGAAGTCAGGTAGAGGCAGGTTCCGCTAAGGAAGTCCTTAGGCTGACCAACATCCATCCAGAAGCCCTCCAAGTCAAAGGAGTGCAGCTGGCCATCCTTCACAATGGCGGGGAATGTCTCTTGTTCGATGGAGGTGGGGCGGAGCTCGATGCGGTTCAGCACGCTGGGGTTCAGGATGTAGATACCCGCGTTGATGCGGTTGCCGACGAACTCGACGGGCTTCTCGACGAACCGATCGATCCGACTGGGGTGGTTGGGCTTGTGAACGACGACGCCGTACTTGGAGGGCTCGTCAACCTTGGTGACAACAATGGTGCCCTCGTTGCCATGGCTCTTGTGGAACTCAGCAAGCTCCTTGAAGGGATAGTCGCAGATGATGTCCGAGTTCAGGACGAAGAAGGGAGAGTCGTCCTTGCCCAAGATCTTCTCTGCCAGCTTCAGGGGGCCGGCCGTGCCGAGGGGTTCGGATTCGACGGAGAATTCGATTCTGACGTTATATTGTTCCTCGTACTGTGTAAAGAGAACTTGTGTGAGTTTATCGTTTGATTCGAGTGGTGAAGGATTATCATACTTTTTTGAGGGCAGCGACCATGACATCGGGGCGGTAGTTGACAGCCAGGACAATGTCCGTGACACCTGCCGCAGCCAAGCTTTCCACCTGGTGCAGGATCATGGGCCGATTGGCGAATTCCACCAAAGGCTTAGGAAGCGTCAAGGTCTAGGGAGGAGCCGGAGATCAGCAAGCGCATCTTCGAGAAATTCCGACTGCATCGGTATGTTGGGACGTCACGATCGTCAGCGGGGAGGGCAGAGCGGGAGCTACTCACCAAAGGACGCAGGCGGGTACCGAAACCTCCGACCAGAATAAGAGCTATAAAATGTGACTCGTCAGATAAAGCAGTCGCTTGATGGCCGTGAATAGATCATAGATCTATAGACCTGTACATACCCTTCATGATTGTGGTAGTGTGTAATTGGTATTAGAGCGAAAGGGGGTAGAGGGGGTTGTTCGGAGGGGGACTTGCTCCAAACGAGTGACCGGAGCAGAATAGTATGGGCGAGGTACAAAAGATTAGATGTGAAACCCACACGGGGGAAAGAGAAGGCTAATGGAAATGTTTCGAGGTTTGGTTCAAAGTAAGACCCAGCAATCCGAGATGGACAGGGGAAGAGTGATAAGATTGAAATAGAACAGAATGGAGAAGAGAATGAATGGACGGGGGGGGAGGGGGAGGGGGAAGAAGGTGGAAAAGGAGAGGAAATTGAGTTATAAGAGAAAGCGCAAGAGAGACAGAAGACGGAGAGAGAAGAGGAGAACACCTGGCTATTGTGACTTTACGACTTGACTTGATGGGGGGTGGATGGGTGGATTTGGGGGGGTAGGAGGGGGCTGTAACGGAAGCGTATGTATGGATATTGTATGAAGATTGTATGGAGATGTATGGAAGACTAGAGGGAGGGCCGGAGGGCTAAGTTAAAGGGCTAAAGGGCCAGCCAGAGAAGGGCCCCCGATGCACCCCCGGTGCATCCCCTTAATAGTATAAAGTGTGGGCAGCCTTATGCTAACTCACTGCTAACTACAACGTAAGGTAGTGTCCAGTGTCCACTGATCCAGGCACCGAACGGACCACTGGCTGGCTGGCGTTTCAACCACCACAAAGGCAGGCCGCAACGCACGTTTGCGGCAACGCCACCCCATTTAAAACCAGTTCCGTACCGGCAGCGTATGGTTTCAGGTCTAGAGCCATACTACTAGGTAAGTACGGATATTACTCCTGGACTAGTCGCGGCCGGATCAGGTGCTTCGTGGGGCAATCATTTCATTATTCAATTGCCCCTGGATCTTCCCATCCTTAGTTATTACGCGTTGCAATAATGGAAAGGGCCATAAGCGATAGCGATAGCCGGGTTTGTTCTTTCATGTGCTGATATTATATCATACTCTCATGCAGTTACCACTACACAAAGAGGTCACTTGAAAAGGTCATTAGCATGATCTACAGCACAATTCGTCATAATCCCCAGCCGCTTGTGTTCACCTCACCATCTCGGCATGTGGATGCTGCTCAACCCTCCTCGGGTTGCATTCCCCCATTTGCTCGCCATCAAGACCTGGTTGTTGTAGAGCCGCGCTGAGCTTGTTACTCAAGTGTTGCAGTGAAGCAATTAGTGTATGCAGGAGGCATAATCATTGCGCCCCCCTCCCCAAGAAAAACTCCCAAACGGCCCCGGTAGCAACTCCTAGGCTTCAGGATCTTCTGATCGTCCATGTATGATCGCGTTTGAGGACAGACAATGGACTTCCTGCTTTGTCCGCCTTCTCCCCGGTTCGTGTTACCAGCCACTCCGATCATGTGCATGGTCCGAAGCGCAATAGTGAAAGAGCAATTCTCAGCTCTCTATGCCCTTACCTACTAGACTGTGGTTGATGTTCTAAATATACTCTTGCGTATCCGGAGGCAGTGCGTTATTTGTGGTGGTAGCTTTTCCAGCCAGCCCACGTGTTAGGGGCCCCTTACCACGGTCACCGCCTACCGCATCCGGCGCAAATCGTCTGATCCACTCGCGCACCTTGCTGACTTTCTCGACCAGCAGATCCTCTTCCTTCTTGGCTGCAGGACCCTGCTGCTGCTGCTGCTGCTGCTGCCGCCGTTGGAATTCTTGTAGCCTCTTGGTGCTGTAGACACCGCCTGCATCGTTTGCGTCGACCCGCTGTCGATGCAGAAGGTCAACTCTAGTGACTCCCTTCCGCAGGCTCTGCCCGTATACCCGTTCGCGGAAGGAACTCAGTCCTACCGTGCGCATCAGAACAATGTCTCGAGGCCGCAGCGTAGCCAGCGACCTTCCAAGTTCGTCCTCGATAGGTTTGCGATCACCGGCCGCATGTGCCTGGTCCGCAGGAGGAAGCCAGAAGGTTACTCCAAATCCGCTTCGCGTGTCATCGCCCACTACAACCTCGACCAAGTCCAGTTCTTTCTTCCATTGCCGTGTCACAATGCGGCGTGGACGGTTGATGGTGATGATTGACACGACTAGATTCACAGTCACGGTCTGCGGCACGATCGACGTCAAGTATGCTGCCGTAGGGATGGCCTGGAGGTCGGTGACAGATGTTTGGCCTAGAATCCCTGGGCTCGGCGCTTCTTTCTCGCTCACTGTTGCGATCGAACTCCCGGTACTATCGGCCCAGATGCCGCTGCCTTGGAAAGAGTTCTCAGAGCGAACCCCGGTCGCCGAAATCTCGGAAACCTCATGCACGGTGAAGGAGTGCTCGTAGAACCGTGAGAGTACTGAACCCTCTGGTTCATTGGCCGAAATCCCGCCAGAGACTGCGAGGTCGCGGGTTGCTAAGAAGCAGGCCCTTTCCTGGGAGCCCGTGTCGAACGTCCCTTGTAGCAACTGAGATGTCCGCAGGTCTTGCAAGAGCCTCCACTTGACAGGGTAAGCATCTGTCAGGCGCCATGGCTCTTCGTCATCCAGATTTGATTTCTTAAAGGGAAAGATGGGCTCTGTAAGCAATTGCTCTTCATCCCACTGAAGGTTTCTCGACGTGGGTGCACCCATTAGGAAGATGAGTTTCTTGGACATCGCCTTGGCTGATATGTACAGAAGCGGCCATGAGGCTTGTTGAAGCAATACGATTGATCTGCCACGCCTTGGAGAATAATGCCGCTGTAGAGCACGGAGAGATGTAATGACTTTGGTATATAGTGTGCCAATACTCGGCTTTAGGAGATCGGACGCACCGAGATTAGGCGGTTAGTGGCGGGCTATGGATCGATAGCCCTGACCATAGACCCAGTTATATAGCAAAGTACACGAATGAGGCTCTGGAGATGAACGAGAAGAGGCTGCTGCAGACCTCGCGTCGCTGTGTCGAAGCTGAACCACGGATTGCAGACAAGTAGCATCGTCGGCTGTACGGTACTTCAAATACAGTACCGTAACTCCAGGCTCAAGATATCATTGCGAGAAGTGCCGATTGAGCTAGTTGTTGACTGGTCGATAGGGATATTCGAACAGCGTACTAGGTACGTATCAGCATAAATTCCTAGCATACCCACATTAATGACATCTCCATGCCAGAACGAGACATGATGTACTGCGAAACCCAATCTATTCATATTCCTCATACTCGAGGCGGGTATCACGTGGATGGGAGACGAGACTACGGAACTCCATTGAAGTCGCAGTGGCAACTTCGGCAGACGACTTTCGCCGCCCGCCGAATATCAGACTGGCCCGACATCATCATTCCCGGCTTCCATCTTCGCCCATCGATTCACTGTCTTGAAGTGATAGGAGATGGCTTTTGCCTTTGTTGAACATTGAATAGGCTCTCATATCACTCTTCTTTCCCACTTTTCTGTTGAAGGGTAATCTCCGGAATCAGCGGCCAAGTGCCGCCATCCTATAGCCCATGGCCTTCCAAGTCCCGTTCCCTATGCCGGTATGAACCATTCATTCCCTCAGTTCAACATGCCGACTCCTTTGCTAATGGCGCCTTCTTGGTATAGAATCTGGCGGCAGTGACATCGGATGCTTGGCCTTCTCTGTCCAAAATACTGAATGCGCCCTGGAAACTGATCGAGCACTCCGCCTCCGCCTCCGCCCCTCAGCTGAAACGTACCGGCCACGAAACCAGTTCGATTGTATGTCCTTATATCCATCCATCGCGGGCGTCTGAGAAATTGCGTACTCATAGATATCCTCCCCAGGAAACTCGCCAAATTGCGCTCCCCGAATGTCTGACCACAGTATCCTCCGAGGCTCTTAGATCGGCTGTCATGTACAAGCCGGCGGCATCTGGAATGACTCGCTCCCTGTTCGCTGGTAAATCGCCACAAATTCATATCGCATTCTCAGCCACAGACTAACTTCACTTTCATTTTCTAGCGACCACTCTTTGGGCTCCGCCATCGGCCACTAGCCGTCGTCTTGCCACACCCGCCTCTCGTCTTTTCTCCACGCTGACCGCAAATCCGAACCGCATCCGCCACGCCCCGCACCTACATGGACTCTCACGTCTCCAACAACAGCGGTACCTCTTTGGGGGTCCGTCTCAGGCCTTACTAGCGCAGAGGGAGAAAACCGCGAACAACAACCCCAGTAGCGCGAACGCTCAAAATGCCTTCTACCAGGCTCTTCTGCGCGCGAACCATCCAGCCATTATCCTTGAACGGTACAGATCCGGGTACTTTGCTAGTAACGCGGCCACTGAGGCGATCTATCACAAGGCTTTGCAACGGGTCAATGGGATAGATGGCTCAACATCTTTCTTAGGCGCCAACCAACAGTCCAATCCTGACCTGCTTCATCAACTTAAGCCCGAGCAAATACAAGCTATTGGTCAGGCCGTTGGTGCTAAAGGTATTCATGGCAAAGTACACGCGGCACCCGGCCAAACCGGCACTGGAGCTAAAGAAGCTCCTCTGTACGTCGTGGTCGAAGAGTCAAGGGGAAGCACTATTTTCCGCTGGGTGAGATTCTTTATCACGATGGCGTTCATCGCATACCTGTCTTGGGTGATTCTCGCTGTCGTCCTTGAGACCTCTGGTGTTTTGCGAAACGTCAAGGGCCCGCAGAACAACGAAGCTCAACCCGAACACCAGACCGTGCGCTTCAGCGACGTTCATGGATGCGACGAGGCCAAGGACGAGTTGCAGGAACTTGTTGAATTCTTGATCAATCCCGAACGGTTTTCCTCGCTCGGTGGCAAATTGCCGAAGGGTGTCCTTCTGGTCGGTCCCCCTGGTACTGGCAAGACTCTACTCGCGCGTGCTGTGGCAGGTGAAGCCGGTGTTCCTTTCTTCTTCATGTCTGGGTCGGAATTCGACGAAGTCTACGTTGGTGTCGGCGCCAAGCGTGTTCGGGATCTGTTCACTCAAGCCCGCAGCAAATCCCCTGCCATTATTTTTATCGACGAGTTGGACGCCATTGGTGCAAAGAGAAACGAAAGGGATGCCGCGTATGTGAAGCAGACTCTGAATCAGCTGCTTACCGAGCTCGATGGATTCAGTCAGAGCAGCGGAGTCATCATCATCGCAGCGACCAACTATCCTCAGCTGCTTGATAAGGCCCTCACGCGCCCTGGTCGTTTTGATCGGAAGGTAGTTGTCGGTCTTCCAGACGTTCGCGGTCGTATGGAGATTCTGAACCACCACATGAAGAGCGTGCAAATCGGCACTGATGTTGATGTGGAGGTCATTGCTCGTGGCACTTCTGGGTTCTCGGGTGCTGACCTTGAGAATCTTGTCAACCAGGCCGCTATTTATGCCAGCAGGAACAAGAAGACCAAGGTCGGACCCAAGGATTTCGACTATGCCAAGGACAAGATCATAATGGGCGCGGAGGCTCGCAGCCGGGTGATCCAGGATAAGGACAAGCTTCTGACTGCTTACCACGAGGCCGGCCACGCTCTCGTTGCTTACTTCTCGAAATCCTCCATGCCGCTCTATAAGATCACTATCGTGCCCCGCGGAATGGCGTTGGGTATCACACATTTCCTGCCTGAGATGGACATGGTTTCCAAGGATTACACCCAGTATCTGTCGGATATTGATGTCGCCATGGGTGGCAAAGCTGCGGAGGAGCTCATCTTTGGCCCTGATAAGGTCACCAGTGGTATCTCGGCTGTAAGTTTGACCTTCTACCTTTCTTCATGGAGGGAGTCTTTGCTGACAAGTTGCAGGATATTGAAGCAGCCACCAAAACCGCTTTTGCTCTCGTCACTCAATTTGGGTACTCCAAGAAACTTGGAAATGTCGACTTGATGTCCAACTACAGCAGCCTGTCCTCGGAAACGAAACAAGAAATCGAAGCCGAGGTTCGACGCATCGTCGAGGAGGCTCGCGTTCGCGCCACCAACATTCTGACCGAGAAGCACAAGGAGCTCGAACTGCTGACCCAGGCTCTGATCAAGTACGAGACCCTGACCAAGGAAGAGATGGAGAAGGTTCTGCGGGGGGAGAAGCTCGACAAGCTGGAAACAGCGCCGGCCGCTCCCATCAAGTTGCCCGAGGTTTTGCGGGCTGCCAAGTTGCCCTCGCCGAACCCCGAGGACATACCCCCAGTAGCCACGAATTCCGCCAACGAATGAAGCGCGAGCCGCTATTCCTGACTTTTTTTTTTTGACCTTGACCTTCGACCTATGTCCTCTCCTCTCTCCCCTTTGAACCTTATCGTTGTGGAGGCTTATCAGCAGAGCCCGATAGCCTTTGCACCATCATCTTCACTACATTCCCGAATTCGATCTACCACGGAACATGATCGATTGATGTCACCGCCATTTTACCCAGATTTCTTTTGCTCTGCATCCCATTCCGGTTCTACTTTGTTCTTATCTTGTATTGTTTTCCAGACTTGGGTATATTTGATTTCTGCTACCCCTTCTTTCATGAGTGAATCGGTCTATCCGATGTTAACATGTATGTAGCAAGCTTGAGGGCGGTGTTTCTTACGACAGATGATGGTATAGGGCGTCATCTGGCCCCAAGGGGGTTACCATGGAACCTTTTTGTGCGTAACATATGTACATACATGTATCAAAATTTGCATGAGTACCGAACACGCAAAGCGAGATGTTTGTAGAGCAGATCACTAGCAATACACATTTAAGCATAGCCCTGCTACTTTGGATGTACCGAAAAGAGGAAAGATGAGAATTGTCGCTGTTGCTGGGTTAAGTTCGGGTGCGGGGGTGTATCAATTTGTAGGATATAGGTTGGTAAGCTAGTCTCACAGCTGCGGTCATGCGGTCCATTCTTTTAGGAGATGAGACTTGGACATCAGCGGCGAAGAAAGAACTCAGCCTTGGGGTTGAAATCTTCATCGGCAGTAGTAGTGTCGTGCATTCTGACCAATTTCAGAACACTGGTAAGGTGCTCAGCGCAATCCCCTCAACCATCTCGCCCTATCTGTTGTCCCCTGGCATACGCCCATATGGATCTACCGGAATGACCATCTGTACATCTACACTTCCATCTTCAATATTCCAATCCCATCCATTCCCTTCCCCCCTTTGCTAACCCCACCAACCCTCTCTACCTGTACCCAGATCCCACATTCAAGATCCAGATCCATATAGATATGAAAATGTGTATCAAGTATGTATGTATATATGCAACCCAACCATTCCACAAAACCGACCCTCATAACCCCACACCAAAACAACAAGAAAGTAAACAACGACCCTCCTTCCCCGCATAAAAGGGCAATGGCAAGACAAAACTACCAACTCGTCCTCCCCGTCCCCCGATCAAACCCGCCCCGCAACTGCTCCGCCGGCTTGACCACCTTCCCCTGCAACACGGTGTACCGGATGATATTCTCGCAGTCCTGCGGCTTCACTCGGGCCAGCCAGATCCCCTGGGCTGCGCCTTCGGCTGCCGCGTCGGCAGTGGCACCGGGTGCGCCAGTGCCAGCAGAAGATCCGTTCCACCCCGACTCCCTGCGCCGATAGACAATCACATTGGCGGCGTACTTGTGCCCGCCGACGTGGTTGATGAAGTAGATGCCCACGCCGCCGGGCCGCTCGTCGTCCAGGTCGCGGTACAGATTCAGGTGGCGCAGGTGGCGCTCGAACTCCTTGCGCAGGAGCGGGGCGGACTGGCCGCAGCGGGCGTCGCGGGTGCGGTGCGAGCAGAGGAGGATGATGGCGGAGTGGGGGCAGGGGCGGGCGCGGAGCGGGGTCAGGGCCGAGAGATCTGTCTCCTCGAGGTCGGGGGCGGTAGTGCTGGTGCCGGTCCCCGTCAGCGGGGTGGTGGTGGTCGGGCCGCGGCTGACGAAGTATTTGATCAGATCCGGCGCCAGGGCGGGCGTGACGTGGTCGACGAGGGTGAAGCTCGGCAGGCAGAGGACGGTGGTGGGCTGCTGGCCCGGTTCGTGGTAGTGATATTCGTCCGGGACGGGCATGTTGGAGGCGGAGAGTTTGAGTTTCTAGTCCGTGATGGGAAAATTAGTTAGTTGGGTTCGATAGTCCATCGAAGCGTGCGGGGGAGTAGACGCAGTCTTTGTTTCGCGTCAGTGGGAAGGAAAAAAAGAGGCTGACGCACCCCATTGCTCGGAACAAGCCCCCCCTTCTCGATAGCCTCCATCACGCTCCCCGGCTCGTCTGCCACGTCGCGCACCCAGTCCGTCTTGCCCGTCGCGACGAGCACGTGCGTCGCCCACTCGCTGATGTTCCCGTACATGTTGTCCTCCTGGTCCACGTCGAACTTGGCTGGGTACTTCACTGTGCAGGAGGCGCAGTCGTGCAGGCACTCCTCGCCGTCTATGGCTGGGTCGACCTTGGGGAATAGCGTCTCGGCGGGCTGGACTTCTTCTTCTTCGGCGGCGGCGGCGGCATTCTCGTCGCTGGCTTTGGGACTGTCTGCCGGGGTGGCCGAGCGACTTGGCGTGAAGAAGGCTGCGCCTCGTTGGATGAATGATTGCATGGTTTTGGGTGTTTGTGGGAGGGACCGGGGGAGGGTAGGAGTTTTGGAAGCTGCGCGGGACAGAAATTCTAGCTATCAAGAAGGAGGGGAAACGTCAGATCTTATCAATCACTCTGCCAAGCCACAAACACTGATGATGGAATAATTGACTAAGATTCGCTTGCCGATGCGCCGATTGGTGGACGTCACGTGCCTTGGGCCCGATAAGCCGAGCTGCTCGGAAGAAGTGGGGGAGACCGTCCGACCTAGACATAGAACAAGACCAATGAGAGTATGACGAAACTAATGAATTGCGTTTGCTCCTCGGATTTAATTATCAAATCTAAACTAGCTTCCTTTCCCCCACCACTAGCAGGGGGGGGCTCGGAACTCGGGATTAAAGGCGTTCCCTCGACCCTCCAAAATTAAAGGCATACGGCAGATCCGACGGTCCCCGGGCTTCCACCAAATGAATGACGCTGCCACCAGAGCTGTTGGACGGCAGTCGCCTAAGCGAGCGCATCGATGGCGTCCGCGGCGGCTCCATGGCCCGACCACGCGTATTCGGCCGCCGCGACCAGACAGGCGACCAGCGCCCGTGCTGTCTGGCGGCGGACCGGGCATCCCAGGACGAGGCATTCGACGGCCGCAGGCTGTTGCTGCGCCCGCGGGACAACACTCCCTCACTATCCTGAAACGAATCGATGGTCTCCGTCTCCCCTTCCTCGTCCGAGGGCCCGATGATGGACTCGCTCTCCGTCTGACTGCTGGCTCCGTCCTCCTCCTCCGCCGCCTGCAGCTCAGCCAGCACCCGCGGATTCAGCCCCGTCATGCTCCGTAGCAGCTCCGCAAAGACGTGCATCAGCTCCCGGAACTCGTTCTCGTGGAGATCCCGCGACGAGAAGCGCGCCCGTTCGTAGCGCGCGATGAACTCCGCGCCCACCTCCGGCGGTCGGACGACATCCAGCGACACGAGGTGCTGCAGGTACGCGCGCAGGCCCATGGAGACCGGTCGCCGCAGGACTTCCACCACCCGGGTGTCCGGGAACGACTCATCGGCGTCGGAGAACGGCGCGCGGAGGGACTGATGCACCCCGGCGAAGATCGGGTCGGGGGGAGCGAGGGAGACGGCTTTGGCTTCGATCAGGTGAGGCAGTTCCTGGATCACGGTCCGGTACGGGAGGTCCGGCAGATCCGCGCACGAGGGCGACGACCAGCCAGGGTGTTCGATGGGACCCCAGGGTGGGTGGTCGCGGTCGATCAGCAGCGACTCGTAGTTGGCGAAGGCATCCCCGTCGGCGGCCAGGTCCCGCGGGCGGGCTTGGTAGGCGATGATCGCGCTGTGGGCTAGGCCCTCCTTCACCAGTCGTCGCACGCTCTTGCCCACATCTTCCTTCTCCACGGGGATCCAGGCCTTGGGGATGCCGGATAGAACGGTACGGTTGGTATAGAGACGGGTCGCGTATATGAGGATGGCGAGAATGAATGTAACGACGTAGCCGCCCGTGATGATAAAGATGTTCGTGAGGCGGCGGGTGATGTAGCACTGGTAAATGGCGTCGGCGGGAGTCAGGATGATCAGAAAGAAGAGGATCACCGAAAGGAAGATAAAGAATGTCAAGTTGAGGAAGCGCTGGAGGTTGAGGGCCATAATCGCGCACACATCATATCGCGCATTGTCAGCCCCTGCGCCGCTCGAGTTACAGGCACGAGCTGGCTGGGAAGATGTCAGGGATGCGGATTCCGGAAGGGGCCCCGACCGGGTAAAGGAGGTTCGGGTCACGTGATACATCGATAGATACCAGGTAGTTATAGTTAACGAACTAAACATTACTAAACCTCACCAAACATCACTAACTACACATCACTAAATAACCTAACCCCTACGGCAGTTGCAGGCGCTTGGTGAGCAGACGATGGCATTAACAATGTGTATATATTCATCTACCTCCCATGCAATCTATTGCTCTACAAATCACATAACGCTGAACGGTTCAAATCTATGCAAGCCCCTCAATCATCCTCCACGGCCACCTCGTCCTCCGGCTTGGGCTCGAACTGAGCGCGAGCGCGGCGGATGACCCGCTCAATACCATCCAGACCCATCTTCAGGACATCCATCTTGGGGCCGTAGCTCAGACGAACGAAGTGGTGGCAAGGACTGTCGAAGAGATCACGTCTCTTGGCGGGGTTCAGGTCGAAGAAGATACCGGGAACCACAATGACCTTCTCGGTCAGAAGGGCATTGAAGAAGTTCAACCCGTCGGAAATGTTAGCCTCCTTGGGGAGAGGAGGCTCCAGGGAGGTGAGATCGAGCCAGATGTAGAAGGTGGCCTGCGGGACATCCTTCACGCGGAAGCCGATCTCGTGCAGGCGCTTAAGAACGAAATCTCTCTTTTCGCGGAAGTGGGATTGCAGCGCCTTCATCTCAGCTCTCACCAAGTCGGGCTCGAGCATGGGAATGGCGGCCTCCTGGAAGGGCACGTTGGCACCACCGTCCAAGTAGGAACCGGCAGAGCCCAGAGCATCCACAAACTCCTTGGGGCCAACAACCCAGGCAATACGCCATCCCGGGAGACGGAAACGCTTGGTGAGACCGTCAATCAGGAGCACATCTGTCATAGTCAGCATCGAAAGCATGCCCAGAGTTCAGGAGGGGTCAGCTAGCGAACCATCTTGGTTAACGTCCACCACGTGCTCAGCACCGCTGATCGTGGTTCCGTCACAGTCCGTGGTATAGTTGTAACCACCGTAGAACTCATCGAGGATCAGTGTCGCGCGATCTCTGCAAATGTCTTGAATGCGAGCGAGCTCCTCGTTGTCAACAAAGTGACCGGTGGGGTTGCGGGGGTTGGAGGTCAAGAGAACGGAGGTACCACGGGCGATCTCCTCGGCAATCTTGTCGGGGTGAATGTGGTAGTGGTCATCCTGGGCAAGAGGAATGGGGATAGGCGCGATCTAAATAGCACATTTGTCAGAATCTAACAACGCCACTGGCTGATCGCTGTTGACGAGCCGGAGCCGTGTCGCACACTTACGTTCTTGAACAAGGTCAACATCTCCGAGTAGGCGGAGTAATCGGGAATAGGGAAAGACAGGTAGGAGTTGCCCAGGATGGCAGCGATACGGATCAACCCAGCACGGCCACCGGGGACAATGCAGACGTTCTCCCAAGTGTACTGGCTCTCCTTGCCCTGACGGTAGTGTTCGTTGTACAACCGGGCGACGGCGGCGCGCAGAGGCTTGATACCGGCGGTCGGGCCGTATTCGCGGGCGGCGGAGGTGATGGGGATGCTCGTAGGACGGGGGAAACTGCCTTCGATCTCATCGTCGGCCTCGGGGGCACCCTGGCCCAGGTTCGCCCAGGCAGAGGGATCCTCTGCGTAACCGTGCTCAGTGGCACGTTCTGTGCACCAGACGACACCCGTGGAGGCACGAGAGGCATCGAGACCGGCATGGGGACGGTGACCCTCATGGGCGCTGCGGAATTGCCGGTGGGTTTCCGATCGGAGTTCTGCAAGGGCGAGATCCGTCAGATGGCATGCACGTAATAAATAGCTTAAAAGACCATTGTTCCTTAGAAGAATAGCCTTTGTCGTCGGCATTGCCCCGCTAACACTGATGTGTCATTCCCCTCTCCTCTGGTTCCAAGTCCGAGATGCGGCACAATCGCCGCTCTATAGACTCCACCATTCCGAGGCGCAGAGTAAAGGGGGGAAAACAACAATCAAAATCAATGTGACGTACCGTTCTCGGACAATTCCTTGCCCAGAGAAAACCGACGGTTTCCCGGGCGCAAGATGCTGACGCGACGGCCGGAGAAAGACATGATGGACTGCTTGGCAGGAGAGGGGTCTAGCGTTATCGACTATATGTACGCACTAAATGTACAGTACAGGGGTCGCAGGAAAAAAAGTCGGTGGCGATTTCTCGACCTTCGATGTCAGAGAGCAACAAAAGTGTAAGTGGGAAAAGAATCAAAGCACCAGTCTGCTTGGTTGCCTTGGAAGTCCTAGACAATGTCAGAGACGATGAGAAGAAGATAAAGAAGAGGAATGAGACGAACAAGAGGTGGAGGGGAGGGAATGATAATATAATATAAGGCAAGAATAGAAACAATTTGTTAATGGAAATGCAGGAGATGAAAGAAAAAAAATAAAAAGAAAAAAGGCGGCCTGAGTTATTTGGGTCGACGAGGCAGAGACAAACAAACTCGAGGGAAGGGAAGGGGAAGGGAAGGGAAAGGCCTCCAACTGGAGTTGGAGATCCAACTTTCTACTAGTAACTACAACCAGGCACTCTTTCAGACTTCCTTTCAGTCAATCCCCACCAACCATCAGCATCATGAAAGCCATAAGCAGCAACTAATTTAGTGACTAGTCCACAGTCCACCGCCATGAACTAGTCAGCATCCTCCACATCATCATCCTTTTCCGACGTCGGATGCCGTCATACTATTGGCAGTCCGACTCCTCGAGACGGTCAATCCCTCAAAACTCATTCACGTCAAGCATCTCCCCTCCCCCCTGAATCGATACAGAGACTCAGATAATCCCGCATGGTCGGGGGAACTCGCTCAGGAGGTCGTGCGCACCTGTTGGGTTTTGAAACATGATAAATGCCTCACTACCAAGTTGTCACTATGCATAGTAGCATACAAGAACACGACAAATCATCCAATCCTCCTTTTCTTTCGAAATCCTCCCGTCCAGACCGCATCGATTTCCGTCCCGATCGACGGGTGGAGGATGGAATGGGAAAAGAGTGGAATAAAAAGTGGAACACTCGGATGGGACCCGAATTCCCGGTTCTTGTGCAACCTTCAGCCCTGGAAGAGAGACAGACCCAACCCGTATATTAAATTCGAACAACCAAGGGGAGAATGAATTTCAGGAGAGAGAGAGAGGTGTGTGGCTTTTGGACAAGTCTCATTGCATCCTGTTGTTTGCCCCTCTTCTCTGATAGACCTGCCCCTCCCTGCCCAAGCCTCACTCAACAGTCACACAAAGTGGCAGGCCCTACGCTAAATTTGTACACTCTATTCAATTAAGAAAGAAGGGAGGAAACAAGTCTATTTCATTACGATTGAGGCACTCCGGCCATATTTCCCAACCGTCGTATCCAACCCGCTGTCAGACACGACCCAACGCAACCAAGACACAACAGGCAAGCTTCAAATGAAAATGCAGGAACACTGTACAACTCGTCTTTCCAACCCGCAAGCCAGTATGCGTGAAAAGAAATAGCAGTATACATACATCATGCAGTCATGTAGATCAGATCAAACAGTCATCAACATTGCCGCAGAAAAGACATTCCCAGTAAATCGACATGATATGATCCAGCACAATTCCTAAGACACGACTCCATGCAATGGAACAAGCAGAGCAGCAACCTAGCCAAGGACATGATCCCTGCAAAGGCGCATGGCATGCAAGAATCAGAGACTTCCCAGAGCCTCAAGGCCAATCCAGTGAACGACGAGGGTCGGAAGGCAACCAGGAGACAGCACCGGCGAATGGTTTTGGCAATCGGTGTCTCTTCTCTTTCCAACTCATACAATATAGGTGGTATTGGCAGTAATTGAGAAACACAAGACGAACAGAGGCGAGAAGGGGGAATAAATGAAGAACAAAGCAAGAAAGACAAAGAGCGGTGAAGGGGAAGCTGGCCATGTCAAAGCGTCTGACATTGCTGCGGCTCTGTTGCAGCTCTGGCACACCTAGGTCTCGACTGCCTGGCAGTACAGTTGGATCTCCCCCACTTGGCCCCGGGCGAGCATATCACGCTGCTGCTCCCGCCATTCCAAGAATGCCAACTGAACCGCTTCGTCGCTGTCAATGGTCACAAAGTCTCCGTCCTCGTCCCGGTATCGGAGTCGGACTGATTTGCTCGTTATCGACTTGGTAGTGAATCGAGCCAGTTTGGCGTCGACTCGGTCGATCAGGGAACGGAACATGATGTTGCTTGCAATAACCAACGTAACGTAATTATCATCAAAGTTGACCTTCACCTTAAGCTGTGTGGGCATGAGTGGCTCCTCGTCGGGCTCATAGCTCAGGGGAGAGGTTGGCTGATCGGTAGCTGACGTGTTGGGCCGGTGATCACCATATTGAGGCTCATTGAAATGGGTGGGAGAGACATGTTGCGAGTTGCTAAGGTGGTTGGCGTTTCGAATGGGAAGTTGAGTATTGGAGGTGGGGGAGTTGTTCTGGCTGCGGTTGACTGGCGCCTTCATGCTGGCCATATGAGCGGGAATAGGTGGGACAGGAACAGTCTCCATCGACTGCATATACCGACGGAGCTCGGCGTTGTGAATATCGGGACTACTAGCGGACCGCATCCGCTGTGCCATGCCATTAGCTGCCTGGGCGGAACCTCCTGACATGGGAGGTAGCGAGGGACGCTGAGCACTTCGTCCATTCGACGCGCCGTTGAAATAGGGGTTGGAGTTGGGACCATCCCTGGACGTAGCTCGAGACAAGGCAGGGGCCGTGTAGCGAGGGTGGTCTTCGCTCCAGTTGTTGGTAGGCGTGGCCTGTCGGCTGCTAAAGTAGCCGGTGGACTGCGAACTGGACCTGGTCGATGGGGTTTCGGCTACCGGGGAGAAATAAGAGTTGGCGTTCCTCTCAGCTGGTGACATACTGCCCCCGGGGAACTGCGTATGTACCGACAGACTGGGATCAGGCACAGGAAAGCGAGGCGGGCGACCAACTGGACCAGAGCTGCCACTGCCGCCTGTTGCTGAACGAGTCCGGAGACTCGTGCTTGAGGCGTTCCGACTCATGGGAAACTCGGAGAAGAAAGCAGCTTCCTTGGTTGCAGCCTGCTCTTCGTCATACTCCTGCTGGTAGGGATTGGGCATGTTGGCCATGGACTTCATGTACGTGAATTCAGTTTCGGATGTGCTGGTATTGCGGGCGCTGCGCTGTTCCGCTTGGATTGCTCGTTGTGCTTCGATGTCCCTGCTCCATTTGCGCATGACATCCTCGTTCTGATAGCGAATGATAAAGTTATCGACGACACCTGGATCGCCCTTCCAGAAGATCTGGATTCGATATGATCCTGCCGCGAAGCGAAGTCAGAAACATGGCTATATAATTACATTATGGGCGTCCTTGGGCATATGACCAGAGGCCTAACAAAGACAGATGGGATGTTTAGAAAGATAGAACCATACCTGGCTTCGGCATACACAGGACATCCGTCACATTGGCCATATAAATGCGGCCTTTGAGCTGAAGGCGTGGTTTGCCCTTGCCAGTCGTGGCAGGTTTGTCCTTTCCGACCATCAACTTTGTCTTCTGCTTGTTAGGGTTGATATCCTTGCAGCATAGTAGAATCCGCTCGAAGAGGTATATATGATACTAGATAGTGCGAAGGAGATTCCCGAAGTCAGCCTGCGGATCTCAAGCCTTTAAAGCGACTGAATCCACGCTGGATTCCTCTAATAGGGACGAGGCGATTTGAGTGTATACTAACCTCTCTTTCGGAATCCTTTCCGTTGTCACCTTTGATGACGGAGAACGTGCCGAATCGTAACAGATCTCCAAAAGCATCTATTTTCAGTGCCTTCCAATCATCAACGCGGTCATCTAAGTCTTTAACCGCTGTCTGCAGGTGTTCCTTGTCAATCGCATCATTGGCTGAGTCCAAAACCGACTGGATGGCATCAATTGCCCGCTGGATATCGTTCTGGAGATCGGGGTTCTCCATCTGCTTGCCGAGCTCCTGTGGGACGATTAGCGGCATGAAAAAAGACAAGGTTCATTTGTAGTTCACTATAAGGATCCATACCTTGAGCATCAAAGGGTACTTCGTCAGGCGCTGGAAAGGTTTGACGAAAAAGCCGTTCAGCGTTGCGGGTTGCGCCACCATTTGTTGCAAGTCCAGGGATCGCGGGGCCACGCGAATCTTATCCCATTCTCTCAGACAGACCTCATCACATCTCAACTGGTTCGCGATAAAAGGCTCGTATTGCTTGAATGCCTCTTCGTGCTGTGTGAATAGTTCGCCCCAGTTCTGTCGCTCTTCTGGCAAAGCGTAGTGCTGCTCGATCCGAATCAAAAATCGCTGTGCGAAATCGAGGAGGTTATTCAGGTTCAAGAAGATTTGATGGCTATGGTCTCCTGTTAGGGCTCCCGTTTCTTCCAACTCCTTCTTCAAGGCTTGGAGATTCTGCAAGTGGTGGACATAGTCGCGCTCCGTTTCCAGCAACTCCTTGAGAATGTGTTCTCGCTTTGTCAGCTTCACGGCGCCTTTCACCGGAGCGCGTGCTGCCTCGTCCGACGGTCGCTTTAACTGTCCCTGCATCTCCAGGATGTCCAGAACACGATTCACCATCTTGATCACTTTGAGAAAGCCGGTGGTATTTTCCCCATACAGATCGGTGATTAGGAAGCAATCCTGTTGAGGAAACGCTAGTTCCTGCAGCGATGCCTGCAGAAACTTGAAGGTGGCGGCCTTGGGTCGTTTGGCCTCGGGCACCTTGGCGGGATCAATCTCCAGGTTCTCATCTGGGCCCGAAGCGTTGTAGATGGCCAGGAGGGGGTATCCATTCCGCAAACAATTCCACAGCGAGGCCACGGGATCGGTGTTGCCTTGCACGAGGTCCGCCTCCTCCATCTCTTGCAAATGAGGTTCGAAGTTGGGCACCTCTGCTAACCGCTTCTTGAGGTTGACGCAGCTCTGGTATATGGATTCACCGCCGCGGCGGTTGATGATGTTGTCCTCGGCGATAGGACCGCCATTTGAGATGACGGTCTCAGCCATCGCGTATTGAGGCCGACTGGGACCGGACTGGGGGAGGGGGGGCGAAGGTTGAGGGGGGGAGTCGAATCTGCGCAGCAGATTAAGGGCAGGCGGGCGTGGACGGGAGCGACAGGCGTGGTTGCACAGGGAACAGCAAGAGGAGCATGGATCAATGAAGGCGAGCCGGTGGACCGATGCGGGATGAATGGGAACAAGCGAGCAGCTAGGGAAACTTAGAGTGGAGATAGTGGTACGGTTCACTATCCCTAAGTGAGTCAGTCAGTTTATCCGCAAGCTGGTCTTCCGTGTCTCGACTCAGGAGCCGATCGGGGGATAGATAAGTACCTCTTGAACGAGAAAGAAAAAGTCGCGCGGGGAGGCGATCACGACAGAACGAAATCTCTCCTTGTGATCTTTTAATAGGTTGGGGTTTCTTTCTTTAGCGCGGCGAAGGGTGCCAGGCTTAAATCTCCGGCCCTTGCTGAAGACAGCGCCCCTCCTTTTTCTTTTTTCTTTTAAGTCGAGTAAAATGCAGATTAGTAAAGATCGAAGGCCGAGAAGGTAAGCCAAAGGGGAAAATGATATTGTTGTATGAACAATTCCAAAAAAAAAGAGAGAGGGCGGGTGTGGGGTTTGCCGCTGCAGCCAGGCAGGCAAGCGCAAGTTGACTTTTGGAGGGGAGGGAGAGGAGTGGTAGAAAGGGAGGGAGGGATGGAGGGATGGAGACAAGAGTTGTGCTTCTGATTGTGGTTACAATGATGAGGGGGGAGGAAGCCGAGAAGAGAGAGGGGAAGAGAGACGGAGAAGGGAAAGGCGGAATGGATCAGTCAGTCGTCGGGTTTGCCCCTCAACCAAGCGAGCTGAAGTTGGGGTCGAGGCAGATTAGAGAATAGTTGGTTGTGGTCTTGTAGTGTTACAGCCGCGGCGGGAGGCAAAGAAACACCAAAGATTAAAGCAAAGGGAGTCCCAATGCACGAGGTCAATGACAAATTCAATCTTAAGGAAGGGAAATGAAGCAGAAGAGCAACAAGTAGATATGAGAAAGAGAAAGAAGGGGGGGGGGGAAGGGTGGAAAAGAATCCCGCGGCGGAAGAAGGAAAAAAAGGAGGGAGACTGATAAGTTTGGGTGTAGAAAGAGAGAGCTGAGAGCGAAAGTATGAGATGGACGAGAGGCAAAAGGAGAGAGCAGTAGTCAAGTGAACGGAAGAATTTACCTGGTAGTAGCTAGCTGCGCGCGTCAGCTTCCACCCCCCCGACGCAGGAGATCCAAGTATTGTAGATCGATCGGTAGCTGTAGATTATAAAAGAAAGGGGGAAGAACCGACCGGAAGAATCAAGAGGTGTGGGAGATTGACAGAGAATCGACACCAAGAGAGAAAGAGAGGGAGGGAGGAGAAGGAGGAGGGGGCAAAATACTTGAAGGAGGGAGGGAGGAAAGAAAGATGAGGTGTAGAAAGAAGTAAAAGTTGTAGTTAGATGATGGATGATCTCCGCAGGGAATCATCCGCCTGCATTTTTCTACGCGCCTCTATTCTGATTGTTCCACCCAGGCGGATTGGAAAGCATGAAGCCGAAGGATGGATTGCTGCATGAAGAAAACCTTCTCTCATACACCAACAGTTTGGGATTGAACAAGGGTATCATCTTCACATACTCGAGCATGGCTCGATGCTGACCGACTATCAAGGAGAATACCATCCAAGACATACCAAAACCTGACAGCCTCGTAGGGTAAGCAGCCGTTGTGAATGCCATTCTGTCTTACTCACTGATTATAGTTAGTTAGTTAGTTAACTAATCTTTCTTTGATGGTAAATCAAGATGATGGATCTTCATGTGCTTCAATCTCACAGACTCACATCCCGTGTTCCTTACAGGGCTATTTGTTTTGCATCCCGTCCGCTAACTTACCTGGTACTCTCCTTACTGTAGGTATCCACAGGGGCAACGGTCTACCTCAGTAAGATGAAACAGGGACGTTGACAGTGCAGTGAGTGCAGTGAGTGCGGGAAGTGCAGTGCATTGTAGTAACTATAGTATATTTCGCTGTAGTAGTTATACTCTTGTTCAAGGGGATGTACTCCGTACATCATGGATGTACTTCCAAAGCCAGCCAATGTGCAGTGAAGGCGGAGTGGATCTTCGGCAACCCGCACCGTAACCCAATCGAGTCAATCTGACGTGACGAGGTCACTTTCCAGTTTACTGCCTGACTCTACCGTCTGTCTCAGTCTCAGTCTCTCTCTCTCCTCTTCCTTTGCTACTACTACTACTACCACAGGACATCACTTCCAACAACTCCCCCAATACACCGTCATCCTCGAATCTATCCACTAAACCCATTCTCTCCTTTACCCTCCCCCTCCCCCTCCCCGAACTACCTCCGAACTCAGGGGTTTGTCTTTCACACCTTCACACTCTCCTCTCTTCTTCCCGGCCCCCCTCCATCCCTTTCCATGTGGTGTTTGCAATACCCGATCTAGCTCCTTTCGCGACAACCGGCTGTTCTCCAGCCCATCGATTTACTTGAAACAAAGTCGGATGCAGGATCATTGATTCTCTGCTGTAAAGGAAACGGGAAAATCAGACACTGCGAGGAATCCCTGCAAGGTAGTGTGTCCTCATGGCTCGCAAGTCCTCGGGGTCCGCTTCTAGCCCTCGTCTTCCTCCGCTCCAACCTGCCGTCAACCACACCGCCGACTTCGCCGCCGCCGACACCCCTTCGCTGTCGACGCCCTTCAAGCTCGACGAGGGTTACTCCGATGAGACGAAAACTCAGGTCGAGAAGAAGGACCTGGCGATTCCCGCGTCAGATGAGTGGATGACGCTCCAAGAGTGGGTTCTCACGCACAGCGAGGCGGAAAGAGCTGGTAAGTTTAGCAACGGACTCTTCCCGATTCCCCGACCCGCAGGATGTCTTACCACCGTACTGGGGCCGTGGCGATCACCTTCCCATACTAATCAATCGTGAATGTCGTGATGCAGAGCTGGCCTATAACCTTCTTCGCACCATGCGCGCATCCACCGTGACCTCCGTGATCGAGCGCCTGGCGCCGCGCCTGCACATGGATCCGGTGCTGAAACTCCCGCCCGAAATCACCTCCGAGATCTTCTCCTACCTCGACCCACAAACACTGCTGATGGCTTCCCTGGCCTCCCGTGCCTGGCGCAATCGCATTTCGGACTCGCGCCTGTGGAAAGACCTCTACATCAACGAAGGCTGGAGGGTGGATATGGACGCTGTCCGCACGTTTGAGCAGGAACACTCGGGACTTTCATCGCCACAGTTACGGAAATCCCGCTCGAGGCATACCGATCCGGATAGCGGGGAGCCGAAGCAGAAGAAGCGGGTACCACCTAGCTGGTTGAACTCACGGACAACCGGATCGCTCGGTCGGAAAACGAGGCCGGAAAACGGGCAAAGGCATGCTGCGCAGGAGGCAGATAGTGAAGGCGACCTTCCTATGGGAGATGCGTCTACCGAGAGGAGGACGTTGTTCTCTCCGGAAGAGCAGACGACAAGCCCGAGCAAACGGCGTGAATCTTACTCCGGATCGACTCAGCTCAAACTCGGTGGAAATGGATTGTCAGCAGCTACGCGCCGTCCCAATTCATCGCTTCTGATCCGGATGCCCAATGGCGCGGCCAAAGTCAACTGGCTCCACCTCTACAGGCTACGAAGAAAGCTGGAAGAAAACTGGGCCAAAGGCCGTTTCACAAACTTCCAACTACCACACCCGGCACACATGGAAGAGGCCCACCAGGAGTGCGTCTACGCGATCCAATTCACCGGCAAATGGTTGGTCAGTGGCAGTCGGGACAAAACCCTAAGAGTCTGGGATCTAGACACGAAGCGCCTGTGGCACCCACCTCTGCTGGGTCATACAAAGTCGGTCCTTTGCCTACAGTTCGATCCTCGTCCCTCGGAGGATATCATCATCTCGGGCAGCAGCGATAAAAGCGTCATCATCTGGCGATTCTCCACCGGCGAGAAGCTCCATGAGATCGCAGCTGCCCATGATGATTCCGTCTTGAATCTTCGCTTCGACGAGCGGTATATTGTAACCTGCTCCAAGGACACGCTCATCAAGGTCTGGAGCCGACACCAGCTCTCCCCAGCCGACAAGGACTACCCTAGCATGTTCTTCGGCACCGGCGTAACCTATCCGTCCTACATAATCGATACGGCGGAGATGCCCTCCCCGATGCTGGAAGCCGAACTCGCCAACGGCCACATCCGGAGCCTCGCCCCTTTCTCCCTCCTGATGACCATAGACGGCCACACCGCCGCCGTCAATGCCATCCAGCTCAACGAGGACGAGATCGTCTCCGCCTCGGGGGACCGGCTGATCAAGGTCTGGAACCTCCGCAACGGCGCCTGCAAGAAGACCGTCATCGGCCACGAGAAGGGCATCGCCTGCGTGCAGGTCGACAACCGCCGGATCATCAGCGGGAGCAACGACGACACCGTCCGGATCTTCGACCACGCCTCCGGCGCCGAAGTCGCCTGCCTCCACGGCCACGGCAATCTGGTCCGGACCGTCCAAGCCGGCTTCGGCGACCCGCCCGGCGCGGAGGAGACTCTCCGCCTCGAAGCCCTCGCCGTCGACAACGCTTTCCGCGACGCGCAGCGCTCGGGGGCCAACGTCGACCTCGGGCCCCGCGCCCTCCGCCGCGCCGGCTACACGCAGAACACCACCGGCTCCCGCGACCCCCGGGACATCAAGGCCCTGGGCGCGAAGATCCCCCCCGGCGGCGGCGGCAGCCGGTGGGCGCGCATCGTCTCCGGCTCCTACGACGAGTCCATCATCATCTGGAAGAAATGTAAGGAAGGCCGCTGGGTGGTCGGCCAGCGCCTGCGACAGGAGGACGCAGCTACCAGCGCCGCCTACGTGGTCTCCGACCCGGCCGCCCGCGCGGCTACCGCTCGATCGAACGCTTTCGCCCAGCAGCAACACCTCCAAACCCCTGGCGCAGCAGCAACACAGGGCCAACAAACCCCCACAACCCCAGCCCCAGCCCAAGCCTCAACCTCAGCATCCCAAGCACCCCAAGCAGGAGGAGGAGGACCCCTCCAAACCCTACAAGCCCTAACAGCCCGCCTAGCCGGCCAACCCCAGCAGCAACCGCAACCGCAACCGCAACCGCAACCAAACCCAACCCCCAGAGCCCAGCCTCAACAAACCCAGCCCCAGCCCCCCATGAACGGCATCATCAACCCAGCCCTCCACCAACCTCCCCATCTCCCAGCACAGCAACAACAACAACAAACCCACCCCCGCCCGCGCCACCACCCGCGCCACGACCGCGACGCAAGCGTCGTCCCCACCTCGCGCGTCTTCAAGCTCCAATTCGACGCCCACAAGATCATCTGCTCGAGTCAGGACCCGCGCATCGTCGGCTGGGACTTTGTCGGCGACGACGAGGAGCTGCGCGAGGCCTGCCGCTTCTTCATGTGTCTATGATTCCTTACCTTCTTCTTGTGAAAGGGCTGAATAGTCGATATGGTAGTCACTCTGCGTGTGGGTCTGTCAGGCCTTAAAGGGATGGGATGATTCGAAGAAGCAACGTACCGTACCTAGTTGGCGCTTTCCCAGACAAAAAAACAAACGAATCGCCGCGGTTGTTTGTCGTTCTGCTTACTTGCATATCATTGCTTGGGTCTGGGTCTGACTCTGACTCTGACTTGGCAAGTACAGTACATCTAGTACAGTACTATACCCTCCTCGCGCGCTAAGCTTCTTTTCTATCTCCTCAATTCTCCACCTCGCTATCTCATCGTATCTCACGATCCGGGGTGTTCGGTTCGAGAACAGTGGGAAGCGCGGTAGTTCTTCTCTATCTCTTCTCCATTCGGCATGTATCACTCATAGCGCGGTCGCTTATGTCCTTTTCTTTCTTTTCGTGTTTTTTTTTGTCGTGTTGAATCATCCATTCAAAGCATTCGCGGGGCATTATTGGAGCGATGGAGTTGGAGTTCTGATCTGGGGCTCGTTTATTTCATGACGTTAACCTCAATTACTTGGTTTGCATTACACATACTTCTTACTCCTTCCAACTTCTTTGTGGTTCTCCCAGACAACTATGACATGAGTTTAATGATAGCGGTTGGTGTTGCACCTTTTTAGGGATATGTACGTTCTTCACACACACACTTTCTCTGCATCACATTAAAACTAGCCTGAACAGCCATTTGAACTACACCACGGAGTAACTTCCACTCGCAGGGTGGACATAGCATGTAGCCTCCTCTGCGGATATCTGCCACGATCCCTGGAAAAAAGCAACTGCTATTGAGCATCCTACCCCCCGCAACACCCAGTCGACGATTATCAATCCAGAATCCGACCGATGGTGCCAACATTCCGCAAGGCATATTCGTGAACTGACTTCCATGCTTCGGAGAACCATTGTATCGTACGCGGAGCTGAATTTGGAGCTTCAGCTGCCTCGTCTTCTCGATCCGGCTCTACGGCGATTTCATTCGATGTATGGCTCCGGGCAGTCTCATATGTCTCACGCGAAGATGTACTGGAGTAGACGGCAGAGT